ACTTTAGATTGTTCCATCACAAGGACATAATTTCACAGATGAGCAACATTGATTACCCCAGTGTAATCATATCAAAGTGTACTTGTTGTTTGCATGATGCAAGCAGCTGTTGAATGAAAAATGTCGATAGGAAGGAGTTAAAATGCCCACATTGACTGATAAAACATTCTAAATGATGCTTGGGTGCATGAAAAACAAAATTTGATGGCAGGATATGGGAACAAAATACATTAAAAATAGAAATAGATACATGAGGAAAAAGATTTTTATATGATGGCTGGCAAGGAGAGAGGAAGATAAATGTTATATTTTTAATCTCAAATATTTTTTCTAACTTGATCTGAAAGGTTGTATTATCATTAACACTAACAGCATGAATTATCTCTTTTTTCTATGTTGTTATATATATATATATATATATATATATATATATATATATACACGTGTGTGTGTGTGTGTGTGTGTGTAAAAACAGCAGCACAAAGTAACTTGGTAAACAATGACAAAAAATGAACATATCAAAGTTATTACAAGAAATATGCAAAATGTATGTATAATTGGAAAATTAAATTGTACATTATAAAATTCCATAATTTGTTTTAAAACTTTGAAGGGATGATGTGCAAAGCCTATTGAGATAAACATGAAATGAATAAAGAATTGCAGACAAGCAAATTTCTCAGTAAAATGAGGACAACTCTTACAACATGTGACTTTTGAATAATAATAATAATGTATAGACTACCATACATAAAAAAAAATGAAAATGTTTAAACAAAAAAAAAAAATTGAATTATTTTTAAAATATTAGGGGTAAATGACTTTTATTAAGCTTTTCAATTTTTGATTTGTAAATATAGTTTTCACTTAATTAAAATATTACCTAAAAAAAGAAAGTAAAACAGAATTTTAAACGATTTATAAATTATTATAATTAAAATAAAAAAATGAAAACAATTCTTGTAAGAATTCATTGAAAAAATCTTTTTCTTGAGACATATTTATGAAAGCAATTAAAAGCTTTGCTAATTAAATAATGTCATAGTTTTATTGCATTTTTTAGTTTACAATTCAGAGCAGATTTTTGGTAACTGCGGATTCTGTTAAAGATTTTTGGAAAGAAAATTTAATTTCTCGAAATTTCATGAAATTAAGTGGTTATGTGTGAGTGGGGGGGTTAATATATAAAATTTTTTTTTTACCAAGATTTAAGAAGAAAAAAAGAAAAACTTTTAAAAATAATTTATTTGTGTATAAGTCCTGAAAGTTTCATTAAAATCTGACAAGTTTTTGATTTTGCAAAATCAATGTGTTTTTCACCAGAAAAAAGTGTAAAAACACTAATAATTCTTACGTTAATTGCTGATGTAAAAAAAAGATTTTTAACCAAAATTTGAAAAATGGTAGAAAGGATTAAAAAATTTAATAAAAAAAAATACTTTGGTCTTTCCTCTTAATAATAACAAACATTTTGACGATAAAACTTTGGTTTTATTAAGTCTGGGGATTTTAAAGTGGAGATACCTACACAAGTTTTTTTCTTGCCAATTTTAATATTTAAAGTATGAAGTTAGAAACAGTTTTGAAAGGTAAAAATTTATTACCAGTATAATCAGTATAATTTTACTTTATATGACACAGAGTATAAAAAAAATAAAAGTACTTATAAGGTCTAACTGAGAAGAAACATTAACTTTGAAGAATTAAACATTTTTTTTGTTGTTATTGATATAGTCATCAAAATGTTTCAACCAATATATTCTATAGTCTTTCTTTACGAATTATATATCTGGAGAAGATTGTAGGACAGATCAGCTGAAATATTGTTGTACAAATACAAAAAAGAGCTTAATTGTCAGAATAAAGCTTGGAAAATTAAGAACATTATTATTATCATCATGCCCATTTACGATAATTGCTGTGGGAATTGAAATTGAAGTACATGAAATAAAAATTATGTTTGTGAGAGCAACATACAAAGTTTAAAAGTTATCTAATTGTTCAACCAAAGTATTCCATGGTCTTAATAAATTTTAAGTGTACAAGAATGAAAAAGTAAACAATCAAGAAAAGATTAGAAACTATCATGAGGAAATATATTTAAGAGACTAGAAAGACTGAGAAGAATGATATATAAAATAAGGATGAATAAGCAAAGAATTAGGCAATGAATACAAGTTTAGATTGAAGAGAAACTAACTACAAATCAGAAGTAAATGAACCGTATATTTTGAAGCTTTCATATATATGTCAGATGGATATTTGCTTCAGTGAACTTTTAGATTATGAACAATTCAAAAACTCAATAAAAAGACATTTGAAATAAATGATAAACACTATCACAAGAAAACTTCCAAAACATTAAGCTGAAATAAGCCTGTTTCTCAATAAATTGTAGTTGTATTATATATTCCTGTGTGGATGCTTTTCTGAACATGACAATCTTAACCTCTTTATGTCATTTTTATCTATCCTCCTTATCCTTCATTTTTTTTGCCACTTACTCTTTCATTCATATCACACACCTCATTCATCATAACCATTTTAACAGAAACCATCTTCATGTATTTGATGGTGTATGAAACCAAACCCTATTTACATTTAATGTTCAGGCATTATGGAATTAAGTGAGGTGCAAGTACTGGTGGTCATCTGGGTAATTTGATACCTTTAACTTAGCATATAAGACCCCCACCTCTGCACTAGGCTATTTTTAAAGCAATTTAAAAAAAACGGGGGGGGGTCTTATTTGCCATCAAATATGGTCTGTCAGGAGGAAAAATTTAGAAAATAATAAACCATGCAAAAAATGTAAGCAGATAAGGTCATTTGAGTTCAAATGATGGCTCCATGATGAATAATGAATGGTCATTTAAAATGACATAATAACCTCTTAAAAATTACAAGACAATTTAATTCATTGAAAAATTAGAAATTACAGTAACTTCTACTTTTAGAATCTGCATTATTCAAAATGTTAATCTGTTTAATCAAGCTGAAACTGATTCACAGTTTGCAAAAGGAAATTGTTAGCAACAAAGAAAGAAAACAATAAAAATAAAAGCTGTAAAAAGTGAGCATTCATTTACTGCAATGACAGATTGGTATATTTAATGAGGTTAGAAACTTTAAAAACCCATAATGATAATGAAAAAACAATAAAACATGAGTTGGCAACATGTACTTTTCCTCAGGCAAGTCTGTTTTACTAACCAACTACATCAGTGAAGTCAAAAAAAAAAACAAAAAAAAAAAAAACACAGTATTGAAGAAGAGCAGAAAAAGAATTTTCATTGAAAGTAGAAATTTAGCAGAGAACAGTAAATGCAATTTTCTATGACAATATCAAAAGCATAAAATTTTCAAAAACATACTAAAAAAAAAAAAAAAAAAGAAGAAAAGAAAGTATTGTCAAAACAAGTCTGGCAGATTTTAAAAAGTAATCAATTCCAAATTTTTAACCAAACTTTTGTAAAAGGTTTTAAGGCATTTGTTAAAAAAGATGAAAGTCTGTTTTTAAAATGATCTATGTTTGTTGTCAACAAAGCTATTAAAACCATCAAAGATGAATTTGTTAAGAAGCAGGAACTTCCTTCAATAAAAATGTTGCAGTACTAAAATTGCTTATCAGTGACAGAATCAGTGACCATTTGATTAATATCAGTTAATTAAACCAATATTGTACATCAAGCCAAAATAATATCAAGTCTGTTCCTTATTAATGACAAAATCGAAAGAGAAGGATATTGCTAATATCTTTATGCTTCAGAACTCACTTGAAGTAAGTAGCAAGCAAATGATGAATCCCAAATATTAGTTAATTCAAACTTCCTTTATTTTACTGCTTATTTCATTTTAAATGTAGCTCAGATATTCATGAATACTTTACTAACAAGTCCAATATTCTTATCAGTCCAACTGACTTCTAGTTTCTCAACATTTTTGTCTCCAAAAGAAAAATATGTATTTAATCCCCAAACTGACAGCTGTCATCAATAATAATGGGTTACCATCAATATATAGGGATTTAAATACAATTAATTTTAGCTTCCAATTTTTTTTTTACATAAATGGGAAATAGTATTTCAAAAAGAGAAAGTTATTAAGGAAAAAGAATGAACAAGATTGTTAATAACATTTGTAAAGTTGTATCAAAAGGCAAACCACTGACCAACACAAACAATATCACTGTATTCTTCATATTTTGAACCAACATGACACAAAATGTTATGAATCGACCATTGAGGGCTTTTTGTAAGCAAACTTATTACTCCATAGAGATGACAAAAAAGTCTACTGCTTGGTAGTTTCAGTTTATATCTAGTGAAGTCATTTGCATAAGGCATAAAGATGCTTCAATTTGGTCTTTCAGTCTATTTCAGACACCCATAATACATGCATGCAAATCTTGGTTTGTTTTCTTTGCTACAGAACCATTAAGAGAAAACAAAAACTTAAGCGAAACTGGAATATCAAATTGTATTACTTATAATCAGTTTTTGCAATTATAGTTAAATAATGTTGACCGTATTCTTTTTTTTTTAAAGTAATTTATATTCAAAATCTGTTATCTGTAAATTGGAACATTCAGAAACCCCACTTTAGTTAATAATAAATGTCCTATTTAATTACAAAATTCAATATCAGCTTAGAAAAGGATAAAAGTAGTTTTTATTACAGAACTAACTTAGTGTGGCAAACTGGCAAATAAGAAATGCATACTTTAATCTCAAATGTCAAATTGACCATGTTCATTGTCCCAAATTGAGTTTAGAGGAAGAAAACCAAATTCAAAGTGAAAAAAATTTAAATCATGTAACTTGGCATTATTCTAACTTTGTGATTTTTCTTTTTCTTGCATTAAACAATACTATTAGTATTTGATAACAGTACTACTGCCTTTAATATACTTATAAGGAAAGGAATGTATTTATATATCCATAAGAATTTATCAAAAATAATTTTTTTGACAAGCAGAAAGAGACAATATGTTGAAAATGTCAAAAGAAATAAAAGTAAAAAAAAAAATCAATAAGAGAGGGAGAGAGAGAGAGAGAGAGAGGTATGTTAGGATTTACGTTTTCTTTAGTGGCTTAAGAAATAAACTCCTTCAGTGACTATTGATAAGATTTGTTCTTAAGAGTGATTGTAATAAAACCAAGTAAATGTAATAATCAACATCACAAAATTATTCATTTATTTATGCCATTGGACAACACAAGCACAAATTATTTGGTATATGCTGTCAATGTGATTAATTTGCAGATGTAATTGGTAGAATTTTTTTTTTTGTGTGTGTGTGTGTGTGTGGCAGGGGAACAAATCCTTTGACCATTTGATGTTCAAGTGCTGATTGAGCTCTTTTGCTTCCTGGCTTTTGTTCAATCTCAGATTTCCACAGGCTCTGCTTGCTTTACAACTATCTTTGACTTCATTAACAAATTTTACTTTGTAAACAATGACTATAACAAATGTATAGAAATCTTAATAGAGATGTGAGTAGCCAAACAGTTAACAGTACAGAAAATAGAATTAATGAACAAATTCAAATTCCAGATAAGATAGTTTGTGTTCATTTCACATTAATGTCTTTGGAAAAGGCATCTCTTCATTCCAGTTATCAGTAAAATAGCAGGACTGACTGGGTTCTCAACCAGTCTAAGAGAAGAACAATCCTGAATTCAAAACCACACAAGTTTTATATTATTTTAAATACTGAATAAAATTCAAAATCTTGAAACAAAATTATAAAAGTCATTGATAAAATGATCTCTATTATTATTATTCAGTTTGTTTGCATGTACAGGGTGCAATGAGTAAATTGTCATCATTGTATATTTTTAATTTTGCGCATGCATGTTGTTTGTTTTTGTCAACTGCACAGTATTGTAGGGTCAGTTGGGCACCATCTTTGAGAAAAATAGCCCCATGATGCAATTCACTGCCATAAATTTAGAAATGGCATGCTGTACTGCTTGGCATTCATGCCAGAAGCTTCAGTACGAATATTTCAGAGTGCTTGAGTGTCAATCTGATGACAGGGCAGAGGATTCAGAAAGAGTTGGAGGAGTCTAATAGTGATTATAAAGGTGTTTGGAGTGATCACAAGTGATGTCAACGTTATGCCTCCATTCATCTTCCCAAAGAGCCTCAGACTCAACATGGAGGCTTACATCAAGTGCCTTGAGGTGGTAGTGTTGCCTTGGGTCAAGAGGATAGCTGAGAGCCAGCTTAAGCCAAAGCATCTGTCTCGATTACTAGGGGAATATTTTCTTTAATAACGTGAAGTAACTTTTGATTTTAAGTTTTCAGAATGCTTCCACAGACTCGCTATTTAAAGAGAACAAGTCGGCCATAATTAAGGGTTTGAGCTTATCCGAAATCTTTCCATTGGGAATAAGAAAACAAACCAAGGGCCTTGTGAAGAGCAGCTTTATCTTTAGGGATAGGTAATTCTTTAAATGGATATAGTCAGTAAGCATCAGGTTTGAGTATTCCATGGCATATGGCGTAGTCAAGAAAATTAATAGAAGTGGTTGATAGGGAGGACTTTTTGTCATTGAAAGTAAGATTATGTAGTTTAGCTACCTCAAGAAATTTTGAGAAATTTTTATTGTGTTCCTCTTAAGTCTTGCTGGCTACAACTATGTTATCTACATAAGCATATGTTCCATGCATGTTATTTCTCATAATAATGTCCATTATGTGTTGGAAGCAAGATACTCTGTTAATGAACCCGAATGGAATATGACAAAACTGGTATAATTTGCCATTAGCTTCAAACGCAATGTATGGCTTATCTTCCATTCAAATGAGTACTTGGCGATATGGTCTCTTCATATCCAAAGAAGAATAAATTTTATATTTAGAGATTTCCAAAGCTAGATTATCCATTCATGGTAGGGGGTAAGTGTTGAGTTGAGTGAATCTATTAATAGTTCTACTATAATCCACAACTAATCTCTTTTTATGCTGTTCGTTAACAACAATTAAAATTTGACCTCTCCAAGGAGATGTGCTTTCCTCAATTATTCCATCTTTAGCATTTTATTAACTTCCGTTTTAATAAAGTATTTATCAGCACTTTCAAATCGCATAGATTTCATAGAAATAGGTTTGCAGTTAGGATCAAGATTAAAAAATAATGGAGGTATATCTACCATGGTAGATGGTAGGCTACAAGCAGTTGAACTCAAAATAAATAGGCTTTTCTTAGGATTGCCAAATGTAAAAGATACACTAGAATGTTACTTCATGAAGTCTTGCCCAAGAATTATATCACTACAAAAATTGGGAAGGACACAAAGTGTAACATTCAAATACCACACACCTAATAAATTTAAATTAACAGTGCACTGCCCTTTTATTGAAGTGTTAAGGGACAATAAAGCCATGGACACATTCCCCATTGCAGATTTTATTTTTATCTGGTGTCTTTTTGCATAGTTGAGCAAAATAAAGGATCCAGAGGTACTAGTGTCCATTAGAGCAGTAATCTCATTTTTGCCAATCAATACATACACCATAGCCTGTTTTAATAAAATAGGTAGTGGAGTAGTTGCCAATGTATAAGATTGAGTAAGAGAGGTGGCCAAAGTAACAACCGACCAACATACTTTAGAAAAAATGTCCCTTTTTCCTGCATTTGTGACATGTGGCCTCTCTGGCTAGGCACACTTTATGAATGTGACGTGATCCACCACAAAAATAACATTTAGTGCTTGTTAAGGAACATGCATCGATAACAAATGAATCTTTGTTTTTTGATACTATGGCTCCCACTGTTGGTGAGAGCAGATGTGAATATGATTCCGAGTTTTTCTGTGCTACGTATAGTGCTCTGGCTGGATTAACCATCATGTATAGATCAAGGGTTTTGTTTTCTAAAAGATGCTGTTGAATGGAATTAAAGTGTAAGACAGTAATGAACACGTCTTTAATGCAGTTGTCTCGGTTTTAAGCAGCGTTAACCGTTTTGAAACTGCATTCTTTAGCTAGTAGTTGTAACCCCTAAACATACTTATCAATATCTTCATTTTCTGTCCACACATTGCTAGAACATCTCTGGCAAGGATTTTGCTTGTGGGCTTCACTTATAATTCTTTGAGACGATTTGCAGTAGATTTGAAAATAGCATATTTGGCAAGATGGCTGTAGATGTCCTAGGAAATAGCTATTAATTAAGATATCCAATTTGTTTTTTTCATCATGTACAGTATCATTTGTAGTTTTTTGTAGGAATGAAGTGAAAGTCAGATACCAATGATTGAAGATTTTAGTCACAGAGGTGAGTTAGGAGATACAGCTAATCTCTTGGGTTTCAAAAGTTTGTCCATCCTTCAATCCACTCTGTTTATTAAATTGTAATAAGGAACAGAATTAAAGATGTACCTTAATGAAGAACTTAATAAACTGAGTGGCCCACAATGGGGATAAGAGCAAATAAGAATACAAAGAATACAAGTAAAAGAGAGTGTGTGTGTGTGTGTGTATATATATATATATATATATATATATGAATAAAAATGACAATAGGAAAACTAGTAATTGCTGACGCTATTTTCATATTTTTAACTGAAAATAACGTCAGTATTTGTCACATGTAGAGAATATTGACAAATACTGAAGTTATTTTCAGTTAACAATATGAAAATAGTGTTTCTCTACATTCCAGTTGCTAGGAACATTCTGTTTTTGTTTTTATTAGTTACCTTGTTCAATTAATTTTATTTCGTATTTTGCTTTGATAAAGTCCACATTGGACAAAACACGTCAGCAATTACTAGTTTTCCTATTGTCATTTTTATTCATAAATATTGTCTTCTCTACTGGTTAAATCGGAGAAATTTTCATATATATAAGTACAACAAAAGGTGGTCAATTCAAAAAAAGTTCAAATTGAGGGAAGTTAATGCTTATGACACTAGAAAAGAATTATGATGAGCAAGAGAGTGGAGGGGGAATGGTGTGAAGGAGGAAAAATAAGTTGAAAACTGGAGAAAAACAAAAAGATATGCATATATAGAGAATGGGAAGGAATGGAGATGAAAGAAAGATTCAGATTTGCTAGATGGATATCAAGAGATAACGAGTGAAAAATTTAAATGTATGTAAAAATTAAAAATTATGATACATTAAAATTCATTATAGAGAAAACAAGAAAGTTAGAGATTTCAGTAAAGGATAATTGTGAATGCCTCAAGGCTTTTTCATATATGAAACTGGACACTATATATATATATATATATATATATATATATATAAATAAACGTTTATATGAGAAGAAGGACAAGTAATGAAAACTGAAATGGATAAAGGAGACAATGAGAAGATACAGCTGAAGATTTAAAGAAGACCAAAGGCAATTGATAATTTTAGTTAACAGCCACTGAATTTCCACAGTTCTGTCAACTTAAAAGCTTGATTTTTTTATTTTATATGGTCATTAAATGTTTTTTTTTTAGATGTTGGTTGGCGAGAAAGGCAAAAAAAGTGTGTGCGTGTGTTCACATCTTGATACAAGAGTATTAACACAAAGACATCTTATAGAAGCCATAAAGTGTCAAACATCCTTTGGAAAGACAATGTTACATTCAGTAAATAATCTTTTCTTTATAGAGATTTATCTTTTAACAACTTATAGATGAAACTGAAGAATGAATTCTTTTGATGATCTCCAAGAGATTGAAAATACAGAAGGATAATTCAGACAAATTTAATTGGATTTTTACAAATACTATCACAAATTTATGAAAGTGGATCAATAAATCCATAGCCTGAATTGTAATTATCTGAATTTTGATCTGAAATATTCAATGTATAAATGTTATATATAACCAATATTCATCAATTGCATTGTAAAGGAAGGAGATATAGTGAAAAATAAATAGATATTTGTTGGGTAAAACAAAAACAAAAAAAAAAAAAACTGGCTCAACCCTGTTGAAGATGGCTATATAGATAACAGCATTTTACTGTTACAGTTTGGATAGATATTGGAGAATGGTTTGACCTGTCAATTATCATGGCATGCTAGTGATGAGATATTTTGTGAAGATATCTAAGTGATAGAACAGCATAAAAGTGAATTTATAATGTTTTCATGTTTTAAATGAATTTGAATATTCTCCATCAGAGGGTGGACATGACTTGCTGATTCCATTTTCTGGCAATGATAACTGCTATACTATTCTGTACCTTTACATTGGTTCATTATAACTGTCAACTTAACATATCAACTTCTTTTAGGTGCCATGTCTCTTCAGTACAGGGGTGATCATAGCTCTTCACAACTTCCTGCTGACTAAGGCTCTTACTAAAGTTTGTCTTTTCAACATCTCTCCCACTCCTTGTTCTACCATCCAATTTACTCAAGCTTGTTAGGTTACTGTTTCCCTTTGTCTCTCTAGACTTCAGTATGTTCTGTTCATGTCAAATTCTCCAAGCTGATTTTCCTAATTATGTGTCTCTTTCTGATTAAGTATGTGACCCTTTTCCCCCTCCATTTCCATTAAAACTTCCTCATTGCTCACATGTTCTGTCCATGGTATTCTCAGTGTTCTTCTGTAGAACCACATCTGTTGCCTCAAGTCTCCTCTTCATTTGCAAAGAAATGCTCTTATGATTGCCTCAATGTATAGGCTAAGTAAATCTGGTGAGAAAAAACATACTTTTCTATGTTTGTGTGTTTATTCAATTCATTTTCTATCTGTATGCAAGTAGTTTGCTCCCAGTTTAAATTTCCCAGTCTTTCCAAATTAAATCAAATAACTCATCAATGAAGAAATTCATTTGCTACAATTTTAAATATAATAGATGTTCACCAATTTGTAATTTATAAAAGAAAAAATTCATTATAAAATGTGACAGAAATTAAAAAAAAAATGATTTAAAAGTAAAATATAAAGATATCATATAAAATCCCAATCTTATTAAAAAGAAAACCTTTACTGAACTCAATTTTGCCTTCATTGACAGAGTTCATCTTGTGTGACACAACATTCAGAACATAAGAGATTGAGCACTCTGAATGAAGAAAAATGTCTGTTGCATTGCATACAATAAAATCATTATATTGCCAATTTGAAACCCAGATTAAATGTGCTGAGTGTGTAGGTCACTGCTGACATCTGACAACCTGGGTCAATCCAATAATTCATTTTATGTTAGATAAGGTGAAATTATTACCAAAACATCTAATGCCATTAACAAAAAAATCTTTTCGCCTTAACAAGTTAAATAAAAACTAATATTACTAAAGCTAAAGGAAAGAACAGAGTTTAAATTTTAAATTCTTGTAAATAATCCTTAATACTAATATCTTATTTCCATAAAGATATTGAAGAAAACAGTAAAAATTGGTAGTTGTTTAAAATACTGTAAATTTTCAATAGAAAGAGATTGGGTTAAGATTAATATTAGTTATATGGTTTGTTCATATGATAAATGCACTGAGAGCAAAATTTAGTACAAGACACTAAGGGTTATTATATAATGTTCAAGAACAGTCCAACATATACATATGTATGCATACACACTCAACATTGGTACAATATTCAAGCATACATGTGCTATATTAGAAAATATCTTATTTACAGTTAAAAAAGATTGGAAAAGAATTTAAAATTACATTTGTGTTCATCCCAGGTTGATGAGCCGTATTATGATTTTTTATAAGAGAATAAAAAAACAAAATTAAATCAAAGCAAAAATGCTTTTATATCATGAAAGTGTGTCTTGGTATTCCTTAAAGAAATCAAATTTCACGCTTTGGTTAAAAATAGCAATTTCCTCTCCAGTCTTTTGCTTGAAAAATCTATATGCAATCTTACCTTGCTCAAGATGAATGGGACATGTGTATTCATCTTCTTCTGGTGGATCATTGTTGCTGTTCATTTGAGGGAGACTAGCCAATGATAACTCCAGCTCAACACTTTCGTATACAAACAAAGACTTTTGCTCATAGATTTCACTAGCAATGGAAGTCATACTTCTTTCTTCTTGTAAACTCATTAAATGCTGAAAAACAATAAGCAAATCATTTATTATGACAGTATTTTTGTATTTTGAACACAGAAAAAAGTACTTTTGTGTGAAAGGTAAAATAAGTAAAGATTATTTCAATACTGATAAAGGATTCACCAATAATAATGAATTAAATAAAAGTTAATGAAAAGAAAATTTAAAGGAAAGTAAACAAATGCAAGTATATCTGAGTTGAGAAAAGAAAATTAAAGTTCCAAATTGAAAGCAAGGAAATATTATTTTTAAATAAAAGCCTTTTTTCCTTTTTACAGGCTATATGATTACATGTCAGATTTTATTATGCAAATCACAGCAAAATTGATATTAACAAATGGTAAAATTTGGGGAATATATTTGTATGAGAAATATCGTGACAATAAGAAATTTTTAAATATCTAACTGGTTTTCCACAATTTCTATCTTATACATAATATACCATATAACTGAATCAATTTGTAATTTATTATTTTACATTTTAATATGGGCTCTCTGACGTTCTATAACTTTCATCAATCTTTCATGCATTGTTAACTTTTGCCTTGTTTTGAATTTAACATTACTCACTTTCCAGAGATCTCTTCTGTTTGAATATTGTTTTCCATTCTCATATTCCATTATCTTTTAATGACAAACCTCAAGTTTTGTATTGGATTAATTCTAGAAAGGCTGGAGGCAATTACATTCATGTCCTTGAAACCTTTTTAACAAAATAGGCAATATCTTTGCAGAAGGAACATTGTCTTGCTTGAAAATATTCTTTAGCTTAAAGTTTTTTGGTTATGACCTATATCCCTCAAAAAATGTATTGTCCATGAACTTACAATAATTCTCCATTTTTATCTGGATGTCATGATCAACTTTGAAGGGACCTATAATTTTACTACTTAAAATAATTGCCCCCACCCATTACCCCACCTCCTTGTTGTTTTCTAAGTTGTGTTGGTTGACTATTTTGATAAGAAAACAACCTCCAGCACAGCTGTCAGGTCCATCCAATGTAGCTCTATAATCATCAATAAAAATTAACGTTAAGAGATCAGTTGTCATGTATTGCTTCACCAACTAACATATTTCTTTTTGAGATGCTTAAACTAATAGTTTGATTGAATACATGAAGGCAACCAATGTTCTTAATATTCTACTTCTTTTCTCACTTGATTATATTTCCAACACCAACTTCAAATATTTTCATTGGTTGTCAATCCACTTTTCCTATTTTCATGTAACATTCTTAAGGACAGACTTTTCTTTTTTTCTGTTGTTCTATGATCTCTGTTCAACTTTACTTTCTACAATTTCCAATCACTTAATAACTTCACAAAATATGGTTTCTCTTTTGAGGTTATATCTTTATGACCCATGGCAATCTTTACACATCTGAAATTAAAGATAAATATTAATATACTATTAGGAACAGTGTGGGAATAGGAATCAGCACAGCATGTTCTGAAGATCACTTGAAGTATGAAACTGACAGTCACTATGCAGTGTTGATTCTCATGTCCATATTGGATATATCTAGCTCTATCTATGATATTGAGTACTCTTCATATAACTATTATATGCATTTATTTACAATATAATGAACAACACTTGAGTTGTCTTATAAAATCTGATACCACCAAATATGTTATTGTAAATATCGCCTCGAAACAAATGATATAAAACATTTGTATTCACATGGCATATTCTGATGAAAAATATAAATCTCTCATGAAAATTTTACCAACATTAGTTGGCTAAATTTTTTTAATCATTTTACCCCAACCAGGCCATAAACCACTAAGACACAAGGGGTTACTGAGTGTGAGAGAATATGAGAAAAAGAAAACCTTATTAAGGAGAGGGAACAATAAAAGAACAGGAATTAATTAGCATAGAACTTATGGTTACATCTAGCCATTTCAGCAGTAAGAGGATGAGACTTTGCTGCCAATCTAGTGGTATGCTTAATTTCATAAAGTCTAGGTGCAAAAGAGGAAAGATCATTAAAAAAATTACCTTGAAAATATTTATAGAAATGACACAGGGAGGCTACATCACGGTGGTGTGAAAATGACTAATATGAATTTTAGTGTGAAACCATTAACTTGCATAATAAAATCTGACAGTATAGTAGGATTTCTATTGAGATTGTGACTGGTCATGTAAGTAGACAAGTTTCATTTGTGGCAAACATTTCGATCAATGGATAATTAAAGTAGGAATTTAACATCTATAATTTTTAAGATAGGGTCGATGTAGGAAAGTTGAGAAGAAAAGATTCTGCTTCACTCTACCCATATGGTGATAATGATTGGGCTATTAACATTAGGTATTTTGAACTTAGCATAGGTTAAATGCATAAAGAGAAAAGATGGGGATATTTAAATAAGTTTATGAATATGAATAACTTTTCAAACAATAACTGATATTTCAGAAATTGGCTCTTTGTGTGATTGCCAAAATTCATGAAAAATGCATGAAAAGAAAAACAGAAAAGTAATATTCTTAAAAAGACTGTCATTTCATATAGATTTGAGAAAAGTTCAAGTGTACATAGTCCTTTGTTAGCATTTCAAAGTTTATTAAAAGTCATACAGGAGCACAAATATGAAGCTCAATATCAAATACCCACTCATGAAAACCTTCACTTCTGTATTTATAGAAAACCACATAAACTGTATAACAACTATAATACACACTTATATACCCACATATTTTAAGGTAAATGTCTTTCTATATACAGCAAAGTGAACACTTAATAAGAATGAAAACAATATATAATTTTTACTCAAGTTTTTATATATAAAAATGAACAAAAATTTTGACATAATATATAAACTTAACTAAACTCCAAATATTCTTCCCTATCACAATATTCTAAAGGGAGAAAGTTGAGACTAAAAGAATATGAGAAAAGATTTTAATCATTTTTGGTGTGCTGAAAGTTTCTCAACATATCCCACTTCCCAAAATCTGACAAAATGGCTAAACATCAGAATTTATTTTTGGAAGAGTTTCTTGGCCAGGTAAAGAACTTTACAATCACCACTTAGAATTCAATCTCAATGCAGGACATTTTTTTTGTTTCACTAAAGGTACTGATTTAAAAGACAATTTTCTGTATACAACAGTTTCACTTATCTTGTCTATAAGCTTTGGTAGTCTGTAATATAAATGTGGAGGTGCCTGTGTGCATCTATGGCCAATATTTTTCTCCAAAGCTATAAGAGTTTGACCCATAAAACCATATATATTTTGAAGTGGAATCACCCAGGGAAAATTTTTATACCATTTATTTGGGCCTACTGACATGCATAGGCTTGGTACCTTTTTAAATCTCAGTACTTAGCACCTGTAAGAATCCAGTACTGGCATGTTTTTTTTTTTTTCTGACTGTTGCATATGACCGAGAAGGATCTTATAATTTGAATGTAACAAGTTATATTCAAAGGAAATGAGATCTGAAAAGGGTGTGAAAATTAAATCAGAACATGAAATCAAATGTTTTTCAAATTTATTTCATGTAAATAAGCAGGTATTAACTGGCCCTAGTGAGGTATATAGTTGTTTACTTTCAATGTAAAATTCAAAAGGATTTTTTGGGATAAGTGATTGAATTTAGTTTGCACCCACTTGTATCCAAGCATCAGGGTTGTCATCCTCTCTCCTTATTCCCTTTCTCCCTTCTGGTGGTGGTAGCAGAGATGACTGTGAAGGACCAGTCTTCTCCTGAAGAGTCATAAGCAGGAATTACAGCATCAACAGACAGCCAGTAGATGTCATTGAAGAAGTTCCCAACTGTGGCAGCAACATCTTGAATAATGTCACCTGTGAGAGAGACCTTGACAAAAGGATCGAAGTGGCTCATACTGCATATGGAATGATCTCACACCAGGTCTTCAACAATCACAGCCATATCATAAGAACCAAAATAATGGTCTTCCAGGCCATGGTCCTCTTCGTTCCATATGCTTGTGAGACACAGACTTTGTATTGCTGGAACAAACGTCTGGAGTGGTTTCAGCAAATAAAGCTCCAAAGAATCCTTCGTATTAATTGGGAGGGCCACATCACCAACAATGAGATCCTCTCCCTGACTATCTCTTCTCAGCAAGAGAAGATTGAATAGGGTTATCTGAACCCATATAGATAATTGATTTTTTATATTACTGTTCTCACAGTACAAGGTCCCAGAACCACATAAAGTAGAGAGTTACTGAATGAGTTTATTGAAAGACATAAAAGGAAGAAGTAAGTAGTGTATATTATGAGGATATGTAGGATAGATAATGACCTGAGATTTGAAGAGGTTAAGATCATAGGGATTGAGGAAGTATCCTCTTAGGAGTCTTTTTCAGAAACTAAATTCTGGGGAAGAAGCTGAGTGGAACTTCCTCCTTACAAATGGAATATGAAGGAAATGAGAAGTTGATTGGTGGAACTAAGGAATCTAGCTTGTCTGAACATCTACCATGAAAATAAGGGTAGAGTAGCAAGAGGGGCATGCAGCATTTTTGTTTGTGGGAAAGGAGTTGTAGGTTGGAAAATAATTCATCACCCCAAGGCTGCAAAATGCCTTTGAAGTCTGTTAAGAGCAGAAAGTGTTGATTGGGCACCTCCAGTTTAGATATAAGCAGCAATAAAATCTTTGGTCCAATCTGACTCTTGTAAAGAGAGCATGGCAGGTGGAATCAGTACCATCTGGAATGATACAATCAACTAACCATTTTCCCCAGCATTTTTAGTCATGGATGATATATACAAGTTCCACTTAAGTCCTAGAGTGAGCTTGAGTCTCAATAGATTTTTAAAGCAAGAGTCAATATTAATAAAATTCAAGGTTTTAATAAAGTTAAATTAAAGTTGAAAGTTCCATTAGAGTAGACTGTTGTATAATGAAAACAAATGGAATTAAATTGAAAATAATTAATATTGAGGGTCAGTCAATAATCAATATATATGCAAAATAAATGACTCCAGATAATGGTCTCAAGATTTTAATTAAATCA